CCCCCGACCCCTGACCCGCCCGCGCGCTCCCCGCCCCAGGAATCCGAGGAGCCGCGGGCCGGCCTGACGGCGGGAGGGCAGGCCGGCCGGAGCGGGCGCCGCGGGGCCGCAGCGCGGGGCGCCCACCTCGAGGCCCAAAGCAGGTAAAAATGGCGGCCTCGCTCCTGGGGCCCTGCAGGCCGCGCGGGGGGCTCTGCTCGCCGCGCCCCGGGCCCGGGCCCCGGCCGGCGCGCCCGCCTTACCATCGTGCCCGCGGCTGTGGTGCGGCGGCGGCTCGGGCTCCGGCTCTGTGGCGCCGGCAGCAGGAGGAGCAGGCGGAGGCGGAGGCGGAGGCGAAGGGGCGGGGGCCGCGGCGAGTGCGGGGCACGCCGGGAGCTGCAGCCGGGCGGCGGCGGGCGGGGCGGTCACGTGGCCACGCCCCGCCGGCCCTTCCGCCTCCCGGCCCCGCCCGCGTCCTCGGGCTGACACGGCGCGCGCGCCCGGCAGGCCCGCTGGCTGCGCGGCCGGGACTGGCGCCCAGGGCTCCGGCTCGGGGAGCGCTGGGCTCCCCGAGGGCGCTGCTCCGCTAGGCGCGCGGGAGGGCAGCGGCGCGCCGAGGCGCGGTCCTTTATTCCCCTGGGAGGGTCCACCTACAGGGGCTGGATTCCAGCGTTTCGAGTCTTTTTGGAAAGCCCGCATAAGACATGGCGTGAATTGTTTAGATCTCCTTCCTCCGATTAAATGACAATAAGCACTATCGGAGCTTACCCCAGTTGACGGAATTACTCAGCAAAAACAAAATGATAAAAAGGTGGAAAATCACTTTCCAAATGTCTGTGGCTGAAAATAATAATAGGAAAAAAAGTTAAGTAGTAACATGGCTTGGTAATATCCTTTTCTGTATTAGACTTCCTAGGAACTGGATTGTCCTCTCTGCCAGTAGTCCTTTCTTCATGAAGCCCCAGCTGTGACAGCCAGCATCAAATAAGCAGACCAAGAGTAGAGTTTCCTCCCTCTTCTTGGCAATCACAACCTCTTCTAGCAAAGCCTTATCGCTGAGCCAAGGTTCTTCTCTAACTAAACGGTTTTTGATACTTACACAAGTGTCCCATTTATCACAGAAAAATTGTCACCCTATACTTTGAGGAAAATTTCATAAAGATTTAACGCTTTCTGGATTTATAATGAAAATGTAGGTGAAACACTTCGTATACTTATCTATAATGAAAAGAAGATTTAAGAGTGTTTAATTACTTTGGGCTGATTTATGTTACTCTTTCTCCTAGACATTTACTATTCCTACCTTTCTTTCTTTCTTTGTAAAATTGGCAAAATGAATTTAAAACTCGGATCGATAGCTAAACTTTATTTTGTGAAAAAGTCTTGCCTAAAAAGGTAACATTGTTATTGCCTAAAACTTTTGGGAACACGGTAGTAAGTCCGGATGAACCTTGAAGCAAACTAAGCCAGAGGCTTAGGGTGCTGCCAAGAATCTTGCGCTGGGAGTGGGGAGACCCGCGTGTTAATCCTGACGCTGGCCCTATCTCTGTAACCTGGAAGGGCTTTCAACCCCTACAGACTCTGGGTGCTGTATCTGTAAAACCAGCTCTGATTAAATCATCTTTAAAGTCCTTTCCAGCTTTAAATTTCAGTTTCCTGGTGTACCAGTGTTTCTCAGGAAATGGTGTATATATGTTCTTAGGATTAAGTAAGTTTAGGGATGGAAAACCATAATAAATTAATGCCCTAGTTTGTGTGGTAAATTCTGGTATCCAACATTTAATATATTTTAAATGGACCATGTTAGGTATTGCCCATGAAATATGAACCTACTTTTTATGTCCATAGCTTGTTTATTTTCTTAATGGGAAGATTGACTTAGTTTGGAGACAAAAATTGAGAAGAAATTTCCCAGTGTCTAAGCATGAATCCCAAGCAAGTAGATAATAATACTTTACATTTAGCTGATACATTACAGTTTATGAAAACTTTCGCTTTCTTTCTCTTTCTTGAAGTTCCAAGGAAATCATGGAGACTGGATCTCTAGAGCTCCGAACATCTGCTTTGTATGGGTATCAGTAATTCTCCTTCCTGGACTCTTCTTCTCAGGGTCTCTCTCCCTTCTCGGCCTTGAAATTTGTGGCAAAGAGATTCCAAAGAGGCCACAGCCCCGGCAGAGGACATTGGGGACCCACTGGGGACACTGGCACGTAGATTAGGTGTCAGAACCTCTCCCACCAAAGCTGGGGATTCCAGAAATGTTAATCACCCCCAGCTGTGACATCAACGCTTCTCCAAGCCTACCTGTCCCCCACCGCCTCCCTAGATAGAGTTCATACTTCCCATGTGCTAGCATTCTTTTCCTGAAGATATTTTTGTCTTTGCACATATCTCATTGCATTGTAATATCTTGTTTACGTGTTCCGTACCCCACTAGACTATAAGCTCCTTAAGGATCTGAGTCTTACTCATCTTTGAATTTCTGGCACCTGGCACATAGTAGGTACTCAATAGATGATGAAGTATTCCGTTTAAGAAGCTTTAGTGCTATAAAGAAAACAAAAACGGAGCTCCTGAGGATTGTGTGGGCTTTCTACATGTCCTCATGAAGCTGGCTCTTAGAACCTCAGGGCCAGTAGCAGCTCCTTCGCTTCGTGCCTGTTATTTACACCCAGAACCTACCACTGCTGGGTAAAGGGACAGCATTACCAAGCAATGATGCGTGAATTTTGGCGCCTGTATTGTGGGGGGGATCTGAGTGTCAGACATCATGTGTATTGATTTCCTGTGGCTGCTGTAACAAATTACCACAAATTTAGTGGCTTAAAACAACACAAATTTATTGCCTTGCAGTTCTGGAGGTCAGAGGTCAGAAATGAGTCTTATGGGGCTAAAATCAAGGTGTTGGCAGCACCTCATTGCTTTGGGGTCTGTAGGAGAGTATGTTTCCTTGCCTTTTCTGGCTTCTAGAGGCTGCCGGCATTCCTTGGTTTGTGCTGAGCCTCCCCTCCCTTGCACCTCGGCTGCAGTCATCACATCTCTGACTCTCTTGCCTGCCTCTTTCATTTCTAAGGACCATTGTGATTACTTTGGATCCACTGGGTAATTTAGGATAGTCTCCCATCTCGAAATCATTCACTTCATCACACCTGTAAAGTCCCTTTTGCTGTGTGAGGTAACACATTCACAGATTCTGGGGCTTAGGACAGGGACATCTTTTGGGGGCCACTACTCTGTCCATCACACCACGTGTGTTCTCTTTAGCAGTTTCAAGCCCAAGCAAACACTTACAGGCAGGACAGAAGGACCCTGAATGATCTAGAACTGAAATGCACGTCTTAACTATACTTTTCCATTTGGTGGACCACACATGGATGACAGCAACAAACAGCTATTAGGAATTAAGTGAGAGTAACCTCAAAGAGGATGGATCTGAATGGCATCTCAGCTCTGACACAATAGTGGTGCAATCTCCGGCCATTTATTTAACTGCTCTCAGGCTCTTTCCTCCTGTGGAAAATGGGGATTATGGGGTGGATCAAGTGAGATAGTGTGTGGAAAGCTCCTTCCAGCACGGAATAGAAGCCTGGGGTCATTGGTACCTCCGGAGTGAGGGTGAGAGTGTGATTTTACCCACTCACAGGCAACAGGCATGGAGCAATGCCAAGCCTCATGGGTACTGATCTGTAAGTCTCAGCTAAAGTTTGTTTACTCAAGATTCCTTCGAAAATTGGAAAAGTGAACAGCTCCTAATGCATATTCTCACAAGAAACAATCTGGATGCAGTTTCTATGGCATGTAAATTCTAGAATCATTTTTCAAGTCCTAGCCAAAACAATGAATCTGGAAGATTATGCGGAAAAATTCTGTTCGAGCCCCGCTCCCTGTCAAGACACATCACACTCAACTCCCACAGCCACTTCCTGACAGACAGATGTAAGCGTAAAGACGCTCACTGCTTCAAAATGTACCTTTCTACCCACGTGCCTTCTCTACTCTGACATACTCTTCCTAACCCACACCTGAGCTAAAAGACTGGTAAGGAGGCAGGTCAGGTGTTTTTCTAAATCCAAGTTTGAACTTAGAACTAGAAAATAAACATGGTGGGAAATGTGTGTTGGAGGCTGATCTCTGTTGTTCATTCTCCGACCCACAAAACTCACTTTGGGTCACCTCTAGTTCTTTCTAATTTAGGAACCTGACCTCACAATAAAGGAACTTAGCAGTCTATGTCACGTGAAGAGGTAATGAGACAGAGGGTGGCAGCAGTGAAATGCAGAAACTAGTGAAATGAAATTCAAATGGTCTCAAACTCCACATATATAAATGCTAGTTTCACCTTATTAACTCTCAGACATGTTTGTTAGATCCACCTATCAGTTACTTATGATATTAATTGACTAATGATAATAAGTAGCAACTGGTTACCTAGATTATACAAACCATACAGAAACAGCATCTGAAAAAAGAAACTTGCTAGTAACTTACTTTAAGGTGGAAATCCTTTGTTTGGCTTAATTTATTACAAAAGCTGGAGATTTTTAAATCACAGAAAATCGTACAGACCTGAAAAATGTAACAAATGAAAATGATTATGTTAATAGACATGAATAAGAACAGGCAAGAGATCAAAAACGGTTCAAGAATGAGAAGAGTTTATTCATTCCATTCATTCATTCCTTCTTTTATTTCATTTACTGAGCACCTCTGCTAGAGGCTGGAGATGCAAAGATAAAAATAACACAGTCCCTGCCTTGAAGAAAGTGAGTTCTGTG